TTTCTTAAAGCACATTCTTCCATACGATCACTGACTCCAACTCATCAACATTCGCAAACAGGTGTATTTCTCAAGTGTTACGGAACCTGAATTATGTTCAAATAATCTGACAATCAGATCCACACCATATTTTCGGTTGGCATATTTGGAAAGTCTAATCTATGTGTCCATTTTCATCATGTATATTCTGAGGTGATTAAGTTACTTCTGCGCCGTTGTCGTTTATCATTTTCTTCGTAAATTTCAGCTCATTGGAAAATGCCACGGTTTTATGCATCGTATGGAAGTTCTGATTATACCACCGGGAGGTTACAGCGAATCCCTTTCCCTGACAACATTTGGGTAAGATGAAAATGGATTGATGAGTGAGTAATTACTTCTTAGATCACAATATATACAGTTATTATGATAATGGTGACAGCTGGTGTTGTCCTCTTATTTACTTTCGTGTAAGAACAGATAAAATTTCCCAATGAAATATTATCTTGGTTGTAGGGACGCGATTTGGCAATTCTTCAAAAAGAATTCTTGGGTATATTTTATTATTATGTAAGTTCTCTGTTCAACATTATTTATCGAATGTTCGATTGAATTCATCACACCTTGACAAGTGGAATTCATTTGTGATACAGAGCAGTAATCCACTTCACAGCACACTCGATAACTAAATTAGTATTTACTGTATTGTCAAGAAGTGACAGTCTTGATTTATATTAAAGCCTTAAGTTTTGAGAGAGTCTGGTGTTCATCTCTATTCAAATTATTGATTTCACATTTTGCTCCAAGGATATCAAAACAGTTGGTTCATAAAATAATCACTGGAATGAATTTTCCAGAGTAGAGTATTTGCAGAAACACGATCACAGAAAATCTGTCTCCAGCAATAGTGGACATCAGAATAATTAATGTCGTACAATAAGAATCACACTAAAATTTCGGCATGAAAATTATTCATATGGTGACATGATGCAAACCATTTGTCAAGATTTTATTCGATAATTTCGCTAAAACTTCTGATCAGCTGATATTTCAACGTAAGAAAAAGTCATATTTGTAAAAATAATTATTGATACACAATTCAAACCTCTCGCTCGACAGATTGGAAATGATGGAAGGTAAATCGTCTAAGGTATAAATAATAGTGTGCATTTGGGTTGTCATATCTTTGACAAAATCAACACAAGCAATTCAGTGAAGAGTCATTTTTCAATGAATTGCTCTTCTTTGCTTGAACAACCGCATTAAGAAAGATTCATCAGTAGTTTACTCACAGGGAACGATTAAACTGAACGTTAACAAATGGAAGAATCGTCACAAGATGGTTGGTAATATTAATGAGTGCATATAAGAAGTTGAATAAGGTCGACAGAAATACATATTGGGATGAGAAAAGTTACTATGTAAATTTTGATATGCATGCACATGGAAACAAAAGAGATACTATGTTCCATTCACGAACAACGACATCTTCTACAGACAAAATTATTGGATTTCAATGAGATCTCACTTAAGTTCGTTGCTAGCAGCCTGTTTCATGACAAGTCACAGGAATGGTCCACGTAAGTTAAATATTGATAGGTTTCAATTATGTCCTAGATATGTGGATGACATTTTTATTATCCCTGATGATAGTCATGATCACAATTAGTAGTGTTACACATGTTCAACAGCTGTAATCCACCGACAGGGCTCACTGTTTCAGTAGATGAATCTCCACTGCCTTTTCATGAGGTTGAATTTACACGAAGAGCCTACGGGTCTTGAGGAAGATAGATCAATAAGAGAACCACATTGAGCGGCCAACTGATAAGTTTCTACAGCTGAATACCAAATGAACGTGAATTGAGGCAAAGTATTTCTCTAGCCACTCGCGTCACACACATCTGTAGCTCAAATGCTCTGCAAGAAGAATTAGACTTTTCAGAAAGAAATCTTTCAAAACGGACATACATCGAGTCTTATTGTCGAGAATGTCAAGCCAAAAATTCAAAAGCTTAACAAGTAATCCGTGCAAGAAATGAACGTTTTAGATGAACTTTGACTTTGTCGGTAGCCTAATTGGTGAAGTTCTTAAGAGAGGAATTTCGGTTTCAGCAGGGAGAAGTTTTTTCACAGAAACGCTAAGAGTGGTGTTCGTCAGTTAGCTACTGGTGTGGAGGAGCCTAATGGACAAGATCTCACATCTGACCACTTCTACTTGCATACTTCAGTTCACCTGTTCTTGCGGAGCCAGATATATGCATCGTTCAACGCGAATCCTATTGTTTTCATTCAAATATGTTTGATTACTTCATTCACTTGACCGTTTCTGACTCACTTCTCCTCCAGAACTCCTAGGTAACATGAAATTCTCTTTGTTTTTCTGTATGCATCCTGAATAAAATAACCTGTTAAATTATATATCCCACCTTTTCATAAAGCTGCCCTGCTGAAATCGATGGTCTACCAGAGTTTCCATCCACTGAAATGCCAAATTGCTACAGCATTTCTGATTGCTATGATCATGCAATTGTATCAGATGATCACTACGTGTACTCGCCCACAGAGTGAGTTAGTTTTCAACGGAAGGATGCTCATTTCACTGAGGAAATGAATGAACAAAAATGTACACAGTTGGTGTTCTCTTCCTATGGAACAACGCTATATCACACGACATACTTCAGATTATCACTTAACATGTAAATCCTGTAGGAAGATAAAATATTTCGGAACGCCGAAAACTTCTGCACTCTGTTTTCGCATATTGTCTGAAATATAGACTTGTTATTATTGTATAATTCTATCTCCTATATTCGACTTCTCATTTGCATTGAATACTAATAGCAACTGTGGATGTGTGTTGTGATTCTTCTCTTTGTCACTGTCCAGAACCTTGCTGAATTCTATTGTGCAGCTTAAGAAAGTGAATTTCTTCGAATAGAGACCCTTCATGGAACTGCTTGTACTGATTTTGTCAGCGATATTAGGGTCCAGATGCACCCTTTTATTTATAGTTTAGATGTTGTATCTTCCACTATTTCCAATCTGTCGAGAGAGGTGTTGGAATTATTTGTCAATTATTATTTCTACAAAAATGACTTCCTCTTACTTTGAGATATCAGCTGATCAGAAGTTTTAGCGAAATTATCGAATAAAATCTTGACAAATGGTTTGCATCATGTCACCATGTGAATAATATTCATGGCGATAATTTAGTTGGATTCTTGACACATGATATTGATTATTGTGATGTCCATGACTACTGAAGACATCTGTGTTACTAATATTCTGTGAAACGCTTTCCAGAAATAGTGTACGCAATAAATGTCTTCTCAGTGTCTATATATTTGATCATTTGCTTTGATCTTAGTGAATCGTTGTCTCATCTTGATAACCACGTCTGATTATGTTTAGAGATGCACTGGGAAGTTTTTGTATTTTATTTGACGGTCAGTAGAACTAGCCACACAGGACCAAGTTTATATATAAACAAGCATGGAGGAGGCCTCAGTTGTTAGTTTACACTTTCCACATTCGTCGGACTACTTACGACTGAACAGACGATCAACCTTAATCAGTTTACAACCAATTTCAACCTTCTGTGGCTTACTTCGACTCCAGGTAATAGATGTTCAGCCAAGTGAATTCGGGTCTTAACTTCAGTCACTTTGGTGATAAAGAGATTCGCCGAATAATAATGACAATCATAATTAGGCCATCTGTCCAAATGCGAAGCATTCTGAGGATATTAAGTTTTCGTCCATCATCTGGTTGTCGTCCGACAAACCAGTTAAGATACATCAAATGATGCGAAAAGTGTTCCACATATTTGCAGAGCTCAACACTATTGGGTATGTTGTTCATCAGGCGAAGATTTTCATCTAGGACTCTACATTTAATGATTTCCAAAGGTGTTATCTACGTATCTCGGACGATCAGAGCATCTCACAATTGCAGCTGTTTTGAATGAGTGGATGCACAGATTGGTCAGTGAGGGAGATACTGGTTGGTCCATAATAATACCATCTGTTTCACGTGGGGATATCTCCTCTATATTTGAACACTGTTTGATCTGAACACACTTCTAGTGAATTCATAATTTCTCCTATGCCGGAAAAACCATCGACCGCATAGCCCACTGTCTGAAAATGGTGAATGACGAAGACTTGGAAATATTTCATCTCATTCAACATAAATTGATGCAGTTCTGCTCTCAGATTCATACATATTCTGTACTCAATATACGGCTTGCATTTCATATAAATTCGGTATTCAAGGAGTGTATGTTAAGGGGTTGTGTTTTAGAGAGTTAGTAGGTTATGAAGATAGACGTTATGGATGATCTTGTTTGTAAATATTTTGAAATTCATAAAATCCACACTGATGGAAACATTTTGGTGCAGGTTATCTCTGCAGTGACATTTCGATTTCTTCGTTTAACAACTTGGACATTTTGCTTGTTTCAGCTTTTACTCCTTGCAAACTGGCCCTTCCCTCTGTCTGGTCGTCTATTTCACAGAGTTCAGTGCTACGGCTTTCCGTGAATATTTTCGCTTCCTGATGAGGTTGAAATAATTTATCTGAGTTCTGTTGTGTTTTCGGAGACTAATATCCAGTCAAATATTCATCATAGTTTGTATAGAATACTAAACAATTCAGTTGCAATTTTGTCATTTGTGTTACTGCTTCCTCATAAGAACAACTTCCATTCTACTGATCATAAAATATTTTCGATTCCACCACAACCCCAATTAAAGTTGCTTTGTCTCATCTTAAGTTAAATTATCCTCATTTCAAGGGCTCTTGAGAAAGGGAAAGTTTCAAATACAGCAGTCTCCTCTGACTTGCTTTCATTTTCCCATGTCATTTGTGAACCACATGCGACGAGTTGTTTTCACTCATTTGTCGACTCAGGAAAGAGATTGAGCCAAGTACTGTGGCATTTATGTTTTCCGTTGCTTAGAAAACGGTGAGGTTCACTACATCATTAAATCAGAGATTTCCGCCTACAATGAAAAAGAACGAGTGATTTCATGAAGCACCGTGCGAAGGAAGCGTCTGACGTCGCAACTGAAGAATGGCATCCACATACAGAGATCGTCACACTGAAAACCATTTCTGTTGTAAATGCAACTCATGAATATTCGATTATTATGAACTGTGATGCACTAACCAAAATAACGCACAATTCCGATTAACTATGTAATATCTGAAACGAATTGTTGATGTTTGTGAATTCATTTCAGAGGAGTCGGTCTCCTTGTGTTACTTCTCTTCGTATTCGTGTCGAGAATTCGATCACGACCAATTGGTGTCTATGTCGTGTTTTCAATTGTAGTAAGTGTCATTTTTGTAACCCTGCAAAAAATTGTGGGGATTTAGACTAACTTGTTTTTAACTTAAGGAATGTCGTTTGTGGTGCAATTTGAAAGTGTCTTCACCCACTACTACCTTGTCAAAGTGATCATCCCTGTGATTCACATTACACACCACTTTCATTATTTCACTTATTGGCGATGTGACAATGATTGCGTGGTTTCACTACTTGCGCATGAGAAAGGACCTGAAAGCTGAGAAAAGTTGTATCTTAGAAACTCGTAAATGTGGAAACGTAAATCCACCTGTTGCTTCAGCAGGAAGTGTTTATTGAGGGACAGTTTGAAGATATGAATAAACTGGAGTTCTCGAAAAGTTGATTCTACATGACCTGGGATAAGACAATCGACAGTTTACTTCATTCAAACAGTTTAATGAACAAACAGCTTCGTGAGAAATCAGATGAAGCGTTTTCTGAACTGAAGTGATATTAACACGTTGATGGACATGTTTTGGACATCTCTGGTGACTCTCCAGTTGACCTGTCCCACCCAAGAGAGGGACAGGGAATAGCAGCTGCGAAATTCAGACTTTGATTCTATTTGACAAGAAAGAACTTCATTAGAATTCATCGTATTCATCCTCAACGATGGATAATGCGGTCTAATTATTTTCAACTGTTGTAGGTATAGTCATTCCATTTGTCAGGCGGTAATTAGTCGGCCAGTGCAGCTAACTGCAGTTTGCAGAGTTAACTCTTGTCGACATGTATAGGATGATCCACAGTTCACAGGATGACAGTGACTTCGAGAGAATTGTTTATTTGTGATTGATTGTGAGTGATGAGAATGTGGCTTATCTGTTTCTTAATGCAGGATTGAGCATTCACTGTATTTTCAGTATTCATTGTAAATATGTGTGTTTATATATGTATATCAATCTATCCAGTGTGATCACATGTTCTCATTTCGCTTTCTCCATTGTCATAGATTGTGCTGTGGTCTGTTGGATTCGCTGCTTTTTTGTCACCTGTTGGACTGAAAGCTGGACTCATATCTCTGGCCTGTATACTTGTGGTGGAAATTCCAATAGTTGCGTTGGCTATGCTCATGCCTCGATTGAATCCGTTGGGGGTGATAGTGTTTGACACGGTTACATTGACGTTAGCGATAGTGGTACTCGTCTTGAGCGTTTTCTATGTGTTCTCCAAGCAAGATGTAAATGTGTGAATTATTACTTTTATTGCATGAATTATTTGCATAAGTTATTTGTCGAAACTTATTACATCTGCGTTTCATTCAGAAATATCCCACTGCATCCGAATCCCAGTATTGATTCCACACTTTGGAATCTCATTTGATTCCTCCTGTGAGGAAGAGCGAAGCAGGAACGACAAATATTATACGATGAGATGACATCATTTCGTGAATGCAACGAGTAGGAGATTTGATAAGGAATTGGTTTGCGCTTTAAGCCAGACAGCTATGTGTCGCACGATCTACTGTCACTTGTTAGTGTGTATAAAGATCCTGGACAAGTGGAAACTATTATGCGATGCTTTCCACTGAAACATCTGTGCATTATATGAACACTGTTCACACTAAGACTAACTTTGCTGTCACCATTTAACAGTCTCCTCTCAGTTGACCACAGCCTCAACAGTAGAAAAGTATAAATCACATGAAAGATTTCAACATACTCCTAGTGTGGTGGCAAGCAATAATTGATGGTAGTATCAGTGACAAATTTCTCGAATGATGAAACTTATATTGAGAGAATATTAAGAGAAGCCTGTCAGCGGAAACCTGCATTGCTCCGATTTCCTCAGGCAGTCTCCACTAAACGATTCAAATCAAAACTATGTGAGCAGAAAGAGACAGTGGTAGACCTTCGACTATCCTGCCCACTAGTTAGGTAACCGATTGCATCTTCAATTTCATGCATGTCAAATATTGTTTTCATTCGAAACAGCTTACAGTGAATTTCCTTTCAAGAATATTCTACTGGTCATCCTATGAATAGTCAACACTCTTGACTGTTGGGCATATTCGACAGCTTACATCCTTCTGAGAAAATAACACTACTACTTATCATCGCCTCAAACCTACATGAAATATTACGTGTACTCCATATTTTTGGATGGATCTGGTTTCAGCCAGCTGGGTGTAAGGCGCGAAATGATAGAGAATGGCATCATTTCATCCTGATACACTTGTCGTTCATGCTGTCTCTTCGAATTCTATATTTTGATTGGAAGAGTGATGAGCAATTGGGTATATTAGCAGCTAACCTTGTCTATAGTCAATATCTTTATCACGTATACGTATGAAATTTGGCTCGTTTGGGAAGAATTCACTGGTGTGACTGTCACATTCCACGGAATATATATTTCACTAACAGAGATGTGACTGTAGTCGAATTGGCCTAGTGAATAATGACATTTCTGTTGTCAGATAAGAAATGTGAAGTGATGCAGTAGTTGTTTATATTGAGTGAATGACATATATTCGCATATTTTAGCCTCACAATATGCTGCCAGTATCACTGACAGGTGTGATTCAACTGTCAGCATGTTTCGATAATAGTCAGTGTCCACAGATATCAGATCAGTAGATACGTCAATGTTGTAATTTGCATAGATTAACAAAGCTTGAGTGTACCTCTTCCCTCATGATTTATTCCTTTCTCCTCGTATTTTCCTCGCAGATAATTTTAGCTCTGGTGGTATTTTTCTGTGCGTTATTCATACTCTTCGTAAGTTTATTATTTTATCGCTGTATCAACCATGTTTATTTTGACGAGTAAATTACACGAATCACATCAGTTATTTGATAGTCGCAGAATTGCAGTGTGAATCACAGTATCGCTGAGTCGATTTGTGTTCATATTACATCACGAGGCACGTGAATCTATCCACGATATTTGAGAGTGAATTTCCAGAGTAGATGATGTTGTGCACTTTTGCACTTGACTGATTTCTAAGTCATTGAAATTATGCTAAAATCCCGTTTCTTCACTGGAGTGTAGTAATCACGATTCGAATTTATGCGAGTTCTGAATAATACGACAACTCACTTATCGTGACTGTCGTATATGATTTTGGGTTGTGTGTATGTGTGTGTGTAGGAAATGGCTGGATTATTAGGCAGTTTGTATTATATAGACTGATTGCTGTTTGTCAATGATTTCATATTCCCTCACCAGCTGTACGCACTCACATTTAGGGATTTTCAACAACCTCACTGCGCATTTGAGACTGACAAATCATAAAATGAATAATGACACACTTGACCCATCATTCTGAAACTATAATCTTCTTTAAGGTGTGAACTGAATTCTCACTACAATATTGAAAACAAGCAAACATCTGCTCATGTTCGATCTGAAAGCCGACAGTGAATGTGTAAATAATTCTTTATTGATTCAGGTGTCTATATTTCATCATATGAAAACAGTCCTATCACATTGGCTAGATAATTATAATTAATTTGAATTGCTGTACATTTGAGATGATCGCCTGTATTCACTCATCTCTGTCAATAATCTTTCTCTTTCTCTACATTGTAGTTATTGTTCACCTATGTCAATACTGACGAAGACATCACTTGGTGGATTGATTGCAATGCCCTAGAATTTACCACAGCGTTCGTCATCTGGCTTTGTACGATCAACTTGTTCGTCCTACTCGAAAGTAATTTAGCATATTTCTTCAATGAAACAAATCACCAGTCTGATTTGTAAAATACTTCTTTCAGCTTATCTGTATTAGCAGGCAGTTGAATAGGAAAATGTCACTCTGTAGGCATCTTAATTTAATTTTGATTTTTGTGATTTCCAGTTCCTCGTCATGACGATATGTTAATCATTGTTTCTTTTTCTCATTTGAAGTGTGTTACTACTTGCACAGACGTTCACACTGATATTCATATTCTGTAATAAGAAAAACAAACAAAATATACCTGTAAACATCAACACCATCAAATGTACATTTATACATATATATCTCTGTTTTCAAACTGACTGTACACTTCAACATTTCTGAGAATGTGGAGAAGAAGAAGAGTAGTAATACAGTGGTCAAAAGACGATTTACCCTTTCTGAATACAACAAATATCTTGTCAGTGATTAAGATTTAATGTGAGAGCGGTCATCCAATTTTCAGCCTAGCATACCACAAGCATAAGTGAGTGCCTCAATCGATCTACGTTGTCAGAGATATCTGGTCTGTTCAGAGACTCACACTCTCATATAATTTTGAATGAGAGATACATAGTTGTGAAAGGTTTCAGTGGAGCGCGAATGCGTCACCTGAATACATATGCTTGAAAGGTTCACCAATCAGTTGGGCATACGAATAATAATTCATTAGTGATATTTTGTAGGCTTTCAAACTCAATGAAGTGTTACAAATGATATGAGTAGTCTCGTGTGTGTGTGTGTGTGTGACACCATGAACGATAAATGTTGTGTTTGACAATGAATGACTCAGGCCAATGAAGATGTTCGCAATGTGTCTATGTGAATTCTTTTGGCTGGAGACAGGATATTACAGAGATATAAGGATGATATCAGTGGGATCAGACTTCTACTAAGTCGGACAAGTTAAAATGTTCGAATGTGCTTGTATCATATGAAATGATCCCCTCCTCCCTAACATGCAATCCGTTTGTGAACTTGTTCAAAACATCCCCTGCAAACTGGCGTATTTTTAGTTATTCGAGTTCGTCATGTCACCCTAGTTTGATTATTGTGTGGATCACAAAGTGGAATAGTTTCATCGACTGAGTGATGACACAAACATGTCACATTTGACCACATGACTTCGAAACTCGATTTGTATATTCTCATTGTCTTCTACCAGGATTCTTGTAAGGTTGAATAATAGAATTCTCCAGATATATTGGATAGGTGTCGAGTCAATCTTATTGAGCCAACTCTCAGTTGATTAGTTGAATAAAGCGTCAGGTTTCAATCTCCACCTCCACACTGTTTTATGGAATATGATTAGCAGCATTTTATCGCATCAAAATGTTTAGCTGTGTGTGACTCTACGTGATACCACAGCTGAGCATTTTTCAAAATAACTAATTTCATTAACTAATGAACTAAAATATTCATTTTGGTATGCGTCTATCGAGTAACGAAAAGTACACTGGATATGATCAAAGTCAGAATGAAAATCATCACATGAGTACTCCTCCTTAAGTGAGCAACTAAGAAGTGAGATGTAGCTGAAATCTACTTACTGGTTGTAGCTACTAGTTTCGAGATTCGCTGCTTCTGAGAATATTCACATGTATTTTCACATAAATATTTCGATTTCATTGATTATTACCGACACAATTACACATATTGAGAGATCGTAGTCCATTCTGATTCACAAATTGATTCCACTCCACATGAAATTAGGTTTGTCGTAATTATCGCATTGTGTATGGATTTTTCATGCGATTGTTTGTATGTCTGGAAGTAACATACAGCAATAGTAAAGACATTTATTTACCTAAGAATTCTGCCAGCAGAATTAACAGTCTTACATTTGGAAGAATTTAGTTTAAGTCCAACCATTGGACAAAGATCATTTGCTAACTCCTGATAAAAATCTGTTCAGCTTAGTATAGTCTAGCCAGGAGTTAACAGACATTGAGATAGTAAGATCGTCGGAATACTTAACAAAGTTCACTCCGTCATCAGAGTGAGGCAAGTCATCCAATGAGAAAGAAAACAGAAAAGGAGAAAGTACAACGGCTTGAGGGACACCTGCCTCAGTAAGCGATGAAGTGGACGACTTTCCCTGACATACAGTGTACTGCTTTCTTTTTCTTCCATTTGACAATCCAACAGTCAGTTTGAGTTTCAGCAAGCTTCTTTAACAAAATGTCCCTAGGTTCTAACTAATTCGAAAGTAGATGTGTAATCTAGGATGGTGCAGCGAACAAATTTAGTCCCCTTGTCTAAACTGGAGACAATGTCATGATGCAAGACTGCAGCTGCATCTAAAGTATTTCTACTGTTTTTACAGGCGAATTGTCGGTGATAGTTAAAGGTCATTAGTGAAGGTTGAAGATTGAGTAGGAGTAACTTTTCCATAGAATTACGAAAAGGAGATGCATAGCGGTAGGTCTAAATTTGAAACATGTTCGAGTAGATGACTTGTGTATGGGTACAATTTTGATGTCCTTCCAAACGGCTGGCACGACATTTCTGGAAATAGATTCGTTAAATATGTCCATGAGAGGATAACGCAGGATATCTGCACACTTTTTAAAAATAGCATTAGACAAACCATCTGGACCTAGGCTACAAGAAGTGTTCAGCGACTGGAGACATTTTAGAACGTCATTTGTATTGAAACCAGGGAAGCAGGTTTCATCAGCACTTGTAACACTAGAAGGTGTGGCATTTGTGAGAGAATGCATGAAAGACTTGTTTAGTGTACACACATCAAAGGAATACGGAATACTATTCATCTGCTTACCACCAGTAATTTCTTTAAAACATATCCATATATAAGAGGCATTTTTACAGGATATAAACTTCTCTTTATAAAATGAATTCAATCGGTGCATTTCAGACTTGATTAGGATGTTAATTCTTCTCACACCAATTATTATATAACTTTCGTTTTTGCCTGCAAAGCGTTTTTATTTGAGGAGAGGAGAAACAGTCAAATCTGATGAAGAGCGTTTCTCTGGGACAACAGGTGGCAAGACAAAATTTGAGATAACATGTGATATTGGAGATAGTGTCATCAAGAGAGTCTTCGTTAAACAAGTGCCACCTTGTGTCTTCGAGCATGCTCCTAAGATTCTGAACATTCTCCTTAGAGTAACATGTATGTACAATTTATTTGGAAAGGTGTGAGAAAGTTCTCTTGTCTAACTTTCCATAAAGTTTGGGTAAAACCAGTATAATACAATGATCGTAGTTAAACGGTGGTGCTATGTTACGAGATTCGTATATTCCACAGTCATTTATAAAACCGAGATCAAGAGATGTATCCAGTCTGGTGGGATAGTCAACGACATTTTCATGACTTAACACTGTAAGAAAACTGCAGTCACAAGAATTAAAATCACATGTCACTATGGACAACGAGTTTCCAAAAGATGTGGCAGCAAAAATAGTGAATTCATCAGCAAACAGATAGTTCTGAAGTGCTACAACAAGGTGTGACATAAATGTTCGTGATTTAAAATGAAGTTGTACTTAGACAGGTGTTTCCGTCGACATTTAACATTTATACAGTCAATATTATCATTTGAGAATTTAAAGCAGACGTTGTTGGCAAGAGACCACTGAGAATTGATAAAAATAGCAACACCACCACCTCGCTTCTTCCCTGAACTGCTTCGGTCTTGTCTGTACATATTGAAAGCACTCAGGGAGATTAAATTGTCATCATATGAATCTTGAAGCCAAGTTTCTTCAAGCATTATTACACCTGTATTACGATAAATATTTAAACATAATAGAGCATCCAAGTAATTAATCTTGTTCGATACTGACGTGCATTTTTTGCTTATAATCACAGGAGCAGTCATCTGACGCGTTGAAGTACACTTTAAGGATCGTTCACACCCACCATGGTGCTATTAGCCTGAAAACATTTTAAATAATCGCGAGAGTAAGTAATACGATTTGGACAAATAATTGAATAATTAAAACAAAATACATCCAAGTAATCATATGTAATATAAGTGACGGAAAATTTTAGTAGCCCAAAGTTTAAGCAGGACAGTTGGTTATCTAAAAGTACTGCTAGTGAGGATGTATTAATCAGTCTGACTGAAAAGGCTTTTAATCGAAAGACGATGCATTTTTCGTATGAAATAAGTACTTTGGATGAAAATGATGGACTTGACTTGCGGTTCATTTGGAAGTCTTTCGATACCTTCATGTTGTCCGCGACTGGTGATTTAATTGTGAAGCTTTCATTGACATTCCAGAGAACATCGCCCCAGCTGGTTTCCTTTGGTGTGTTATTTATCTGGCTTTATTAAATAGCATGTTCAGTATGGTGAGAACAACCGTAGTTATTCTAGAATTTCTCAAACGTCCAAATGCATCAGATCGACTGACAATAATTATTTCATTTCAAATGGATAATGGGGTTAAATCATTACCTGCCTTATCGAATGATCCCAATAGAAATATGAAGACATCTTCGAATGAAATTCATCTTCTCCACAGGCTTGTCATCATCTGAGTATATATTGTGATGCAACTTGAGAGGAAAAGCTTGAATCTACTCAGAGATTTCTCCTCGGTGATTCCACTGTCAAAAGTTGGAGAATTTCATTCATTTACATCGGCTGGAATAGTTAAAATCATTGTCTCATTCAAGTGAGAAATGTAGAGAGAATTAGGAGGTTAACAGTTCTGGACTTTCAAGTCCATAGTTCAACTTTCAACAAACCGGCGAAATTCAATACCCAGTAGAAAATTATTATCTAGTTAAATCTCCTGTTGTCAATCCGTTCAACTGATTATTGATTGTAACTATTCCAAATTAATAATTTGAATGATTCTGACTAGCAGTGAAATTCATTCACTACTCACTTCTGTATATCACAGTACTTCATGGTTG